CTTTCTTTGGCAGTAGCCTCTGGGTTATTTTCCATTTGCACTGCGAAAGGGTCTCCTATCAGTTTTGCAACATCTGGCTGAGTTGGAGCAGAGAGTATTGGCCTGTACGCTTCACAGTTCATCCTGCTACTTCATTAAATACTAGTGGCACATTTCCACTGGTGGAGAAGTTGTTTTTCTTAATCAAAGAAGGAATTTGCCATCACATACTGTAATTGCCTTCTGTGGGCTTTTCATTTTGCTGGTACATTCTTAAACAGAGAGGTTTGTTTTTAATTTATACTTTCCTTTTTTCAGCCTCATGAGGGCCTCACTTGCATCAACATGTCTTTAGACCTCATGTTAAGTTCCAATGTAAAATTCAACAACTGGATCGACTCCAAATCTCTATCTCATTTGTCACAGAATAATGACAGAACTGGTCTCACCTGGCCAATTGAAACCGGCTGTCTGTTAAGTTTCCAGTTACTTTCACAACAACTGAAAATGGTGGGCTATGGTCCTATTGCTGTTACACCATTTGAGTTGAAACTAACATCTTTTTGTTTAGTTTTAATCCCACTGTGATGGTCTACGGACACAAAATTACAAAAGCTGTGAAATTGTCCCAAAAATTATGGCACCAGCAGTTTTGAAGCAAGATTGGTAAAATTGGTAATCAGTGGATTCTTACATTTGATTTAATTTCAAACAGCATTCCTGACTTTTGGAAACTCGGTTGTATGAGTATCAGTAATAAACAAGACAAATACATTTATTAATACATCATGCATAAATTTCACAAGCTGCAAATACTATTGATACACTTCACCTTGTTACCTTCTTAAATACAAACACTAACTAAACCAAGCTAACTAGACTGTTCCACGTTAAGGCCTCACTAATAACAATGTTGTATAACATGTTATAGACCACGGTAAACAGTTTTTTGCAATACATGAATGTTTTCCCTCAGAAGATAAAAGGAACTAAAGCCTTTCGAAACTTGGGATAGTCTTTGAATTTCTCAAGATAAAACCTGCAACAGAAGAAACAACAACGGTTTAGAAACAGCATGTGGGTAAAATCCTTAGTTGAGGGGTTAGTATTTGTGTCAGGACTCCTTCACATCAATATCTTAGGCACCTGTGATGGTAGTAGGCTCTTGGTCCAATGAAGCAGAGGGTAAACAGAGCGAATGAGAGTGCTGGAAAAGACCAGGTGGCTACAGCGTATCCAAACCACTCCACAATCTCCCCTAAGTAGTTGGCACCAGACACATATTCAAACAGACCTCCTGCAGGAGATTAAGTAGACTGCAGGTTAATACAAGCACAGTGGGAGTTTGGTCACTAATCTGTCTCTTACCAGTAGGAATCTTGTATATTACTTCCTTTGGTTTCCTCAAGTTGCATAGAATAAAGTCGCTGTGAATATTAATGGCCATGCCGATGTAAAACAGCAGTAAACCTGAGAACAACAACAACAAAAAAAGAATTCTCAGTATATGAGACATAAAAAAAAGCACAATTAGATTCTGACTTTCACATCCAAAGAGTAAATATTCCACTTACCAATTTTAAAGCGATAGCCCGTAAACCACTCATCATCAAACTGGGCACAATGCAGCAGGTAGTGTCCTTGCAGGAAACCATTTAGAGAGCAGAACAAACCCGCTGTCACCATCACACTCAGCGGGGAAGGCTTTCCTTTCATCAATAGCGAGTACACAAATGTTCTATGATTGGGGAACAAAATGGTAGATGCAGCAGGGGTGGCAAAAGACGGGGATAATGGTACATTTTTTCCATGCTGGTAGATGCAGAAAAAGCTGTGTTTTTACAATCCACTGGAAGCACACTGTATAAATGATTTGGCATTAAGGTGAAAACTAAAATGGTGCCACTAAGCTCCACTCTTCATGGGAGGTTAGGAAAGCATTCCTCAGAGTGTTGTTTTGAATTATAGCAGCAGGAAAAATCCTTTTCAAACCTCCTTTTGTTTTTTTCTTTTGCTTTTTAGGTCCCCATCTGAAATTTTGTCTCTTGCTTTCACTAAATGTCTCAATACGTAATGTACATCCAGCAGCTAAAAGATGATTACGCCACGTCTTTGTTGTTTTATGTAAAATAGAAAAGACAAACTGTTAGAGAGGAGGGATTTTAACTTTCCTTTTTTTAAATAACATCAAAGTTGATCACTTATGTTGGAAAGATTAAATAGGAATATTGTAAATAGGAATACATGTATTCACGACTGTTTACTGTCGTGAATACATGTTCCCTGTTCCCTTCACATGCATAGCAAATGGCACAAAGCTGACTTGTTTTTCTGCTTTTACCTTTGAAAGTAGTGCACGCAAAAGGTCGCTAGCAGCAGGTACTTCCCCATAATTGTGGATTTGTGCGTGGTGAGTATTAAAAGTAGAGGGATGATGAAAGCCGGCATCTCCTGAAGGAACCAGGCTAGTCTAGCAGGAACCATTCTAGCAGGAGGGCATGCCATGTAGCGTCCATAGGAGCTCTGTGACTTCCTGTGATAAACCAGGTGCCAAACTCCTGCCAGAATAAGTCCACAGCTGAGAAAGCTCACCAAGTCCTGATGGCAGTGCATCCTGGCAAGTGTTCGCCTCAGCCGGTAAAAACTGCTGTGACCGTTTCCACTCGCGAACTAAGCATATGTATGAAGCTCAATGGATGTAAACCGCCTTGCAGACTCCTCCCAAAATAAAGAAAGAGGTGTGTGTGTTCATCAGGCTGTTGACAGGTTGAGCTTTCAGAGCGTAGGTACAAACATTGCTAGAGGCAATGTCTCGATTAGCCTTCTCTGTCTTGGAAGACATTTTGATGTTAAACTGTCACATTTCCAAAAGCTGTAACACACATGAAAAGAGTCACCACAAGTTTGAGTATGAGAGGTAACCAAAGTGCTCAAAACCACCACAAGTCAAAGTCCAGATTATAATCCTGATTATAGATTATATAAATGTACCTAGCTTCAGAGTTCAGTGATCAGATGATATATATGATATGCATTTGCACAAAAAGTTCATTTTTTTGGTATGTTCAACTCGGTATGAATATAGTACTGAAATTAATCATTTGAAGTATTCAGCCTCAAATGCATCTCCACGAATGTGGGACCATTTAAGGGGAAATAAACAGGCTTTTGAACGGTACAAGATTTATTGCCCAGAAGCAAGGTTACAACAAAGAAATAATCAACCAACCAAGTTAATTAAAAAGTGAAGGGTAACTAAAGACTTAGCATTGGTGGTTAGAATTCTTGTTAACTTCAACTTGTACTATGACTCCTTCTACAACTGATCAAATGCTTCTGGTGGGAAAATGGCATGAGTAAGGAACCAGCAGCAGCTATCTAGCATCCGAGTTCATTAGTCAAGTCACAGCTACAGCACTTATATAGACACATTTTCTTTAAAAAAAAAAGGAAATTTGAGTTCAGTGGTCAAATATGTAAAAAAAACTAGTAGAAATATGTACTATAAAGCAAGGTAGACTTAAAAAGCAACACAATCTGTAGTAGTTTTGTGCAAATACACACAAGCACAATCGGCTGCCTTTTTAATAGGTACATTTTGGAAACCTTATAGTGTAGTAAAACTGCTCCAGAATGTGTCCTTCCTATTTGAAAAAGAACTTAATGATCAATTGGTGCTGAAAGAGTTTCAGATTAGTGTTTGTAATATTCTGTCCACCATCTCTCCATTAGTAAGAATGGGCTAAATAACAAATAATTCTCAGTATAACAGTACAATTTAACACCAACTCAAACTATAGCCTTGAAAATGACCACAAAGTGGAATCGGTTCCTATCTGAAACAAAAACTTGACTATTGAAGTCCTCACATATTTTACCTCCCAAAATAAACACACTAGTGTTGTCATGTGTGGGGATGAACAAAAAGTATTTGACCAGCATAATATAATCTGCAGTATGATCATTGCTTTAACCATGTAACAGATAGCTTTAAGATGGCCTTAAGATGTTATGCATACAGTTATTATGTTGACCTTGTATTTCAGGTGCAGTTATGACTATTTTATACACAATGCATATCTGTGCTTATTAAAGAGTTGGAGCTCGGTCAATTAATTGGGGGTTGGAAGCTTTGTTCGGCGCGATGTCCGGACAATCTATTGTGCAAGTGACTTGGAGCCATAGAAGGAATTGCAATACATGCTTACAAAACACTTATATATCAGATCATTTTATATTAAGGTTTTAGTAGAGGTTCTTGGTTAAAACATTTATTTAGTAGAAGACATACACATAGTCTCAGTGAGCTTCTGGTCTAGTGAAAGGTCAGAAGTGCAACAGGTGAATTGAGAAAGAGCATGTGAGGTCAACACATACACACACATTAGTTAGATTTATTTAGAGGAGAGATTAGTTATGTCTCGACAAGAAAGAGGAACAATTCACTTTAAGACAAGAACGGAAAGTACCAGCCATGAAAATAGAAGATGATCTTCTGGGTTAAAAGTCATTGTGGTGTTGATCTGATCTATGTATAAAATGTACCTGTGACGCATGAAGGGGCGTCAGTAAACAAACCCTGATGTTATAAAATAATTGTTTGTGCTTTAGTAAGTCGGAGATCACTTGCTGTCGGCGTACAGAGTGTTCTTCCCACACGTGTGTATTCATTAAAATCATTGTTTGACCAAGAGCTTCTGGACCAAGGGTGGTTTGTACTCTCCCTCCTCAATTTTGAACCTTAACACATGCAACCTGCCTCCCCCTGTTGGTGACATTGGCCTTAAAATTGCTTCATGACTGATGTAGTTTGCACAGGATGTCTATTATAGAAGCTGCACTGTAAACCTATTGTTCGCTTATGTCTGTTAGTTGGTAAACTGGGGTGAAAATTAGTGTTTGGTATTGAAAAACATAATTGGTTTCAATGTAGTCAGTGACTGAGAAGTTACATGGATGTATGAGATCAGTGCGTTTTCTGTGATTGTAAAAACCGGAAGAACGAGACACCAGAGCAGACAAGCTTTTCAGTACATTTTACTCATTTTGTTACATGAATCCTCGGCCTCATCTGAAGAGCCTTTTGGGATGCTTTACCAGTGGAACCTGAGATCAAAAAAACTCCATTAAGGGAGTAGTTAAGTAGTATATTTTTAGGTCTGTGACGTGTAAGTTCCAATTCTCAAACCAAGAAAAGAAAACAAAAAACAAAACAAGAAATACAAAAAACATTTCTAAAAGACAAACAAATATTCATATAACAGAAAATGAACAGTGTTGAGGTTTAGCCTTTGTCTCTCTCTACAGGAATGAGGTGATTAGCAGAAAGAGGAATACCACTCCCTGCTGGAGAAAGGAGATAACAGTTGGTGCCATTTTAGACCAACGGATGACGGGGGGACAGGTAGAATATTCCTGGTGTGTCGGGCGAGCTGGAGACACCGTCGGGCAATAGGCAAAGGGGAGGGTACACGTGAGAAAAAACAAAACTCAAGTACACATTCTAAAATAAGACTAAAAGTGAGAATATGCTTTATATGTATATGTGCAACAGTGATAAAAGGCACAATAGCACAGTGTGTCATGCTTTACTAGTTTCCCTTAAATTAGCAATAGAGGTCAAGCCATTCTGGGATTTCATCTTTCAGTCTGTGCCCACTTCATTCGAACAGATGCTGTAGTTTAATGCTGAGTGTGGTGCCTCTTTTGGTGCCAAGAGGGGAGGGGCTAATGTTAGAGGACTGCTTTGCTTAAATAGGAATATTCAACTTTAGCAGCAAAAGTCAGAGAAAAGTGACGTTCCAATCTTAAACAACAGGACAGCAGACATTTGTGTGCCTATTATCGTTACTGGTACTAAAAGCCTAAACTGCTACTAAAAATCACTGGGGGGGGGGGTCTGCATGTAGCATTCTTTTGGAAACTGAATTATTTCAGGCAGCAACTATTTCGCTTGTTAGTAAATAAAATATTTGTGCTTGACACTTCCGATAAATCCAAAACGTAGCAGGGAGCAACACCGGGTAGATTGTTAAAACTACCAGGAAAGCATTTGTGCTGATATTAATACTCGAGCCATCTTTAATTGCCTTGTGCACAGTACTTGCCTAAGAGACACTTGCACTGTCTCATTAGTAATTCTGAAATGAATTCTCCAAACTGTAAACCAAATATAAGGATGAAAACTTACATTTTTCCAATAAATTTTGGCATTCCTCAATCAAAAAAAATCCAGATAAGGTTTACCACGCATTGCACTGGGGAGAGGTACAGATCTTATTTAAGCAAGTCATTGTGGTCTTCAGTGCTTTGCCTGTTGTTTAGACAAAAAGAAATGTTGCTGAATGTGTAACAAAACTGTCTTTCTCCTATTCTGACAGTTCAGTAACTACAGAAAGTCGGGGTGGAGTTGTAAACGGAGACTGGACGTCTCATAGATGGAGTCACGCACACAATATCCACCGTTGATTGTATTTCTACATAACTGCAGTTTGGCTCTAGCATGCTAGAAAGCATGGGATTGTAGTCAGGAAGCGGTGTTTGTATACACTAGTTTACTGGGCAAACTGGCTGATGGCTTTAGAGCTCAAGTGACGACTCGGCTTTTGTTCAAACCTACACACTAATTGAGTAAATATCATCACATCTAAAACTACTAAATAAGGAAAACAAAAAGGAATAAAATATGATTAAAATATTGTGTTTAATAAACTAAAAGGATAATAATATTGTTTTTGGTTTTGTACAGTAAGGGGGGTTAGTGAACTTTGTTGGGTGCAGCCCTTTGTTAGCAACTACAACACATGCTGAGCAATGGTAGTAATTACCTATGACACTGTTTTCAAAGTTTAAATCGCATGTAGCTTGAAGCAGTCAGCCAAAACACTCCATTTTCATCTGGCAACGTTTAAATAGTCTCCATTAATATCTGCAATTTTATTTTAATTCTTATTCTGAGGCAAATTACAAGAGAACAGATTGAGTCCAAATATAAAGATTGCATTTTTACAACTCAAATCTGTTTAGTCAGGAAAATAAAAGGGAACTAAGAGGACTACAGTCCTTGCAAAAACCTAAATAAGATTATTTTTCCCCTCTCATTGCTTACTCCAAGCCAAAACACTGCATACTCTTCCCATCTCCACTAACCATTTGCTCCTACAAAATCTCAAAACTGCACTTCAAGCAAAATGTTTCAACCAAAAGCTCTGAGACACACTTCAAACTGGCGGAGAAAAGGCAGAGGAGAGCTGAGGGAGAGACAGAAAGAAGACTGTATTGGCTTTGAGTGTCTAGGTCCTTCCTGCAAATAGTGGGCATAACTGGGGGAGGGGGGTGAGAGGGAGGGTGTCTAGGTCGGGTTATGGCGATAGATAGTAAGGGCAGGGTGGCGGCGTTGCAGTGGCCCCTGCAAAAAGTTGACCTCAATGAACGATGAGTGCCCCAGCAGCATAACTCACAGAGCTATCCTGCCAGTTCCTGCACTGACTTGATTGGGCGTAGTTCAGGAAAGTGAAGTTCATTTCTAGACCAGACTTCCTCAGCTCAGCCACAGCCTGCAAAACAGCAAAATCCACTTAGGCACTAATTCACATCATGGGACACAGCAAGAGTCTTTAGACAAACAAAGACGATAACGATGACAGGAATTATTCTCGACAAGGACATGAATTTGGATCCTGAATGTCAACTGACCATTGGCCAGAGGACCTGAGTAGCACTAAGACCTATCCTCCTCATGTCACATCTTAATTTAGCTTTTCCAAATAAAATAAAAAACAAACAAGAAATATAGGGGTGTCACGACGAATGGACTAGCTGGAAAGCACTGCTTCCAGAGCCCAGAAGGATGTCATACATGTGGGACTAGAGGTTACTGTGGGGATGAACAGAAAAGTATTTGACCAGCATAATATAATCTGCAGTATGATCATTGCTTTAACAATGTAACAGATAGCTTTAAGATGGCCTTAAGATGTTTATGCATACAAGTTATTATATTAATTTTGTATTCCAGGTGCAGTTATAACTATTTTATACATATTGCATATCTGTGCTTATTTGAGTTGATGTTCAGGTTCTTTAAAGGTCTTAAGCCTCACTGACGTGACTGTTCAGGTGATACATGCTGAGGGAAAACTAGAACATAGAAGGAATTGCAATACATGCTTACAAAACACTTATATCAGGTCATTTTATATTAAGGTTTTAGTAGAGGTTCTTGGTTAAAACATTTATTTAGTAGAAGACATACACATAGTCTCAGTGAGCCTCTGGTCTAGTGAAAGGTCAGAAGTGCAACAGGTGAATTGAGAAAGAGCATTTGAGGACGAGACACAGCAGGTTGGAGGTGAAGAGGTGACACAAAGAGCATGTGAGGTCAACACATACACACACATTAGTTAGATTTATTTAGAGGAGAGATTAGTTATGTCTTGACAAGAAAGAGGAACAATTCACTTTAAGATAAGAACGGAAAGTACCAGCCATGAAAATAGAAGATGATCTTCTGGGTGAAAAGTCATTGTGGTGTTGATCTGATCTATGTATAAAATGTACCTGTGACGCATGAAGGGGCGTCAGTAAACAAACCCTGATGTTATAAAATAATTGTTTGTGCTTTAGTAAGTCGGAGATCACTTGCTGTCGGCGTACAGAGTGTTCTTCCCACACGTGTGTATTCATTAAAATCATTGTTTGACCAAGAGCTTCTGGACCAAGGGTGGTTTGTACTCTCCCTCCTCAATTGTGAACCTTAACTGACACTGTGTCTGTACCAAATCCCTACACAGCTCTGACCAAAATTACTGGGGACCAAAAGTGGTTCACATGTATTGACCTAGCGAATGCATCTTTTGTCTCCCACTGCACGAGTCACTCAGAGACATTTTCTCTTTCACATACAGAGGCCGGAAATTTAGGTACACACGCCTACCACAAGGCTTTGCACTCTCACCAGGAATTTTCAATCAGGTGTTGAAAGAGGCATTGTCCCCATGTCAACTGCCAGAGGGCTGTACATTAATACAGTATGTTGATGATCTTCTTATTGCAGCCCCGTCAGCAGCGGCCTGTACGGCAGCATCGCTCGTGGTGTTGAACAGATTGGCGGAGTGTGGCTTCAAAGTGAGTAAAGAAAAACTGCAGTTGGTCCGGCCAGAGGTAACATTCCTGGGCCGGGTGATCGCACACAGATCAGTGGAGTTAATGAACACACACAGAGACCAAATTCTGACACATCCAAAACCAAGAACTGTGAAGGAGTTGCTTTCCTTTCTTGGCTTGACAGGTTACAGCAGGCAGTTCATTCCGAACTATGCGGGTAAAACTGCCCCTTTAAGGGACCTGATCAAGAAAGTTGGTGTTCGAAATCTGAAGGCTGAATTGCCTTGGACGCCGGACACAGAGACGGCGTTCATTTCGCTAAAACAGGATTTGTCAAGAGCCACAGATCTGGCCACACCTAACTATGATGAGGCATTTTATCTTGATGTTTCAGAAACAAAGGGAGTTGTGAATGGTGTGTTGTTTCAGAAAAAAGGGGGAGGTAGGGATGTACTTATGTATGTTAGCATAAGATTAAATTCAACAGAAGCAAGGCATCCCACATGCACACAACACGCAGCAGGAGTAGCAAAGATAATTCAGAAAACAGCACACATAGTGAGGGAACACCCACTGAAAGTGCTTACCACACACAGTGTAGTGGCCTATGTGAACTCACAGGTATTCACAATGACTCCACTGACGCAACAAAGGTTGAGCAAAATTTTAGAGGCGCCAAATTTGATATTCACACATGAAGGAATAAATATGGCAGACCTAATGGGGTCAGGAGAACCACATGACTGTATTAAGAAAGCCCAAGTTGAAGGAAAAATCAGGGAAGACCTGAAGGCAGAGCCCATATATGGAGCTGAGGATTGGTTCACAGATGGATGCTGCCACAGAGATGAAGAAGGATTAAAAGCCGGCTATGCAGTAGTCTGTAGAGTAGGAACTGAGTTTCAGGTGAAAGAAGCAGGAAAAATTGAGGGACAACAGTCGGCCCAGAGAGCTGAAGTGATAGCCCTAACTCGAGCCCTGAGGTTGGCTAAAAACATGAGAAGTGAACATCTACACTGACTCAGCATATGCGTTTGGAGCAGCTCATGTGGAACTGGCTCAGTGGAAGAGAGCCGGGTTCAGAACGGCCACTAATGCACCCATCTGTCACAAAAAGGAAATGGAGGAACTGGAAAAGGCCCTGGAGGACCCAGACGAGGTAAGTATTATAAAATGCAAAGGCCACTCACAAGCAGACAGTATGGTGGCAAAAGGAAATCAGAAAGCTGATGAAGCCGCAAAGGAAGCAGCGGGCTACAAAGGACAGAGACAAATGGTGCAGGTAACCCCAGAAGAGGAGGTTAGCACTAACAGCATGGAAGAAGTTAGACAGGCTCAGGAGGAGACATCCCCAGAGGAAAAGGGGGTGTGGGAAAACAAAGGAGCCTGGCAAGATGGCGATTTGTGGAGGGGGCCAGATGGGCGTCCCGCTTTAACGGCCAAAATGGCGGAACAGAAGGTGAATGAGGCTCACGGGCTTGGTCACGTGGGAGTGAAACAGATGGAGAGAAATTTGTGCCGATGGTGGCATCCTGATTTGAGAAGGATGATACTGGAAAAGGCCAGAACGTGCCTAATTTGTGGGGCACACAACCCAAAGCCAGCAGTAAAACCTGAAGCTGGTAAGTTTCTCATGCCAGAAAGGCCAGGAGAAGAGGTCGTGATTGATTATACCGACATGATTGATACAGGCCCAGGTGGGGTGAGGTATTTGTTGGTGTGTGTGGATGTTCTGACTGGATGGCCCGAAGCATGGGCGACCAAACGTGAAGACGCGAAAAGCGTGATTAAGTGTTTAATCAATCATTACATTCCAAGGCATGGGTTTCCCAAGAGAATTAGATCAGACAATGGTACTCACTTCAAGAACAAAGATTTGCAAGAGGTAGAGAGGATGTTGGGAGTGCAACATAAGTTCGGGATGGTCTATCATCCTCAATCTCAAGGAAAGGTAGAGAGGATGAACCTAAATTTGAAAAACAAGTTGGCTAAAATCTGTGCGAAGACAGGGCTAAATTGGGTCGCAGCCCTGCCCATTGCTTTGAGGACCATAAGATGTTCTGTTAACCAATCAACAGGTTTCACCCCTTATGAGCTGCTGACTGGGAGACAGTTTCCAGCACCCTGGACAGTGGTCCCGGTGGAGCAGCCCAGGACAAGCAACAGGTCTCATGCAGAATATTTTAATGAATTGAAGGCTCTTGTGTCCAGCTTTACAAAACAGGTCACTTGTGAGAGACCCACGGGGAACGGAGAGGTACCGGACGTAAAGGCAGTATGGCTAAAGGTCATTAAGCGAAAGTGGAAGGAGCCCCGCTGGACTGGTCCGTATGAGGTGACCGTCCGGACGGCTACAGCAGTCCAGCTGAAAGGGAAAGGCGACACCTGGTACCACTGGTCGCAGTGTGCACCCGCACACGAGAGCTTGGTGGAGGAAAATTCGTCTTCAAAGAACGCAGGTGTCAAGGAACAGAGGCAGAATAAACCTCTTCACCTGTGCAACGGGCCGACCAGTAGTCCACCTGGAAGGCTGAAGAAAGAAGAGCAGCCTAGGAGGAGATCGCCGCGCCTACAGAAAGGAGTGGTAACAAATTGAGAGTTTGAAAAGGGGTGGTTTAAATAAAAAGAGTAAAAAAGGGAAAGTGGAAGGGGCTTGCTCTGTCAATTATGTTGTCTCTATCTGTATTGGTGGGTATTTTGGTGACCTGTGGTTGTTGTCTCATTCCTTGTGCCCGAAGGTTGGTAGAGAAGGTGATTGTAAAGGCAGTGGACCCTGGGGCGGTGGCCCCTATGTCCATGATGCCGATGATGGATCTGGAGGTAGTCGAGTGGACTGAGGAGTGAACAACAACCTATGTGTCGACCTCTGGTGTGCCAGAGGTCGAAAGGGGGATTGTGGGGATGAACAGAAAAGTATTTGACCAGCATAATATAATCTGCAGTATGATCATTGCTTTAACAATGTAACAGATAGCTTTAAGATGGCCTTAAGATGTCTATGCATACAAGTTATTATATTAATTTTGTATTCCAGGTGCAGTTATAACTATTTTATACATATTGCATATCTGTGCTTATTTGAGTTGATGTTCAGGTTCTTTAAAGGTCTTAAGCTTCACTGACGTGACTGTTCAGGTGATACATGCTGAGGGAAAACTAGAACATAGAAGGAATTGCAATACATGCTTACAAAACACTTATATCAGGTCATTTTATATTAAGGTTTTAGTAGAGGTTCTTGGTTAAAACATTTATTTAGTAGAAGACATACACATAGTCTCAGTGAGCCTCTGGTCTAGTGAAAGGTCAGAAGTGCAACAGGTGAATTGAGAAAGAGCATTTGAGGACGAGACACAGCAGGTTGGAGGTGAAGAGGTGACACAAAGAGCATGTGAGGTCAACACATACACACACATTAGTTAGATTTATTTAGAGGAGAGATTAGTTATGTCTCAACAAGAAAGAGGAACAATTCACTTTAAGATAAGAACGGAAAGTACCAGCCATGAAAATAGAAGATGATCTTCTGGGTTAAAAGTCATGGTGATGTTGATCTGATCTATGTATAAAATGTACCTGTGACGCATGAAGGGGCGTCAGTAAACAAACCCTGATGTTATAAAATAATTGTTTGTGCTTTAGTAAGTCAGAGATCACTTGCTGTCGGCGTACAGAGTGTTCTTCCCACACGTGTGTATTCATTAAAATCATTGTTTAACCAAGAGCTTCTGGACCAAGGGTGGTTTGTACTCTCCCTCCTCAATTGTGAACCTTAACATTACGTTGAAAGGTTATATTAAAATCAAATAACAGCGTAATATTTCCATAGGATTTTCTGGATGATCACCTCAAGATGAATCTAGATTCTGTATTTTCTGTGTTTCTTGTATAGAAAAGCTGATGAGGATGCTGACTTCTTGATTAAAACATGTAGTTTAAACCTCATTTCATTGAAGATTCTGTACTTGGGGTTATCAGTCAAACTGAAAAATACAAATAAAGTCAGCCCACAACATGAATTTCATCAACGACTGTTATATACACACAAAAAATGAATAAACACAAATATGTAATCAGGCAATCAGATGGCAGCAACTCATTTGGGCACACAGACATGAAGTTCAGAGAGAATGGCTCGAAAAAGAAATAAAATGTATTGATGTCAGAGGAGAATGACTAGACTGCTTCAAACTGATAGCAAGGCAACATCTACTCAAATAACAACTAGTTACAACCAAGGTATGCAGAAGAGCATCTCTGTGCACACAACAAGTCGAACCTCGAAGCAGATGGGCTACAGCAGCAGAAGAGCACACAGGACGCCACTCCTGTCAGCCAAGAACAGAAAACTGAGGCTCTTATTTAGGGATGCTCATCGAAATTCCTCAATTTCAGTAAACTGTTTGATGACAAAATTCATGTCACTGGGACCCAAGTGAACTCACGGATGCAGAAAGTATAATCCTTGCTTAATGGTGTGTGGGGGTATTTGCTTGGCACACCTTGGGTCCCTTAGTGTCAACAGAGAATTGTTTAAACGCCATAGTGTGAGTATTTTTTCTGAGTATGTGCAAACATATGGTCATCTGTTTTTAACCACAGTGTACCCATCTTCTGATGGCTGAAGGATAACGTGCAATGTCACAAAGCTCCAATCATCTCAAACTGGTTTCTTAAACATGACACTGAGTTCACTGTATTCAAATGGCATCCACACCCCCATCATGTCAATATCCTGAATCTATGTAATGAAGAATTAAGGGGGTGTACCTAATAACACGAGTGTGAGTGAAATACACTTGGTAAGACTTTTTCCTGGGTTACCTACATTTAGCAGCACTCCAATCGGGTGACGCCCACATATGGTGTTGCGATACTTCTTCAAGTAGTTGGTGAAAGACATGGGATCCAGCTGCTCTATAATGCCCATCCCCTTGACAGACAGAAAGAAATTAAACCTTAAATGTACCCTCATACCTGCAAACATTTGTATCTTTTTTGGATAAGAACACATTATGACTCGCCGCAGCAGGAATAATAAGTGAAATGAATAACACTCATAATGGCTCAGTTCCATTAGGTGTTGCGACTGGCCAAGTAGGTCATGACAATGAATCAGCATGTGCAATAAAACGATCTTTGATAAGCGGAATGCAACTGTCATTAATCAGAAACCCTGCAGTGAAAATCAGCTTGGATATTCACGTTCCTTTTTTATATTCATGTAATATACTAGAGGCTGACCGATATAAGATTTTTCACACTGATACTGTGTAATTTAAAAATTCTATATATTGGCCAATAATTGTTTTTCTTTGAGACACACACTCATAGTTACACATGGTTATATGTAAATTTGAGTCCTTACTATGATAATATGGCAGTGTAGTTTTTTTGCTTTCACAGTAAATTGGTAAGTGCCCTCTAGTGGACAAATTGTGCGTGGTTGAATGACGTCTCCCTTTTCTTCTTCACTTTTCACATTTTCATTAATTGGCAGTTATAAATGCAGATACTGATATCCATAAGTAGTTAAATGGCCAATATCTAAGCCCCTACCAATATAACAATATATCAGTCTCATCAGAGTCCATTATATACTGTACTTAATTGATATACAAATTATTTTGGAGTTTATCACAAAAAATCATGACCCTAAGAAAAATCTATAAATCTTCTTTGCTATTCAGTAGTTTTTTTTATCATTAAATTTAGTTAATCTTTGACTTGTACAAGCAAATAAACTGTCTCATTAAGGCCATGAGATTTTCAAAATGCCATGTCCAATACCTTTTATTGGTTGTGCGCGTTTTATATGTGCTTAATGCATGTGGCCGATGAAAGTGTTTTTTCTCAGTGAAATAGATCAGATTTATTCTTTTCATTGAAAAAAAATTACAATCACTTTTTTCCCCAACATTTTATATTACATGATATATCTTACATATCTCAGTAGTTACCATTTTATCAAGATGCTCAATAGACCTGTAGATCTCCCCTTGAGATTCATCATAGTATGTATAGCGAAACCGTTGACCTTCAAGAGAGAAACACACCGCAGTACACAGCTGGGTACAGTCAAGTAATTATGTCATTTAGACCAAATTATCCTTGCATCACAAACTGCTGTTTTCAGTGTGTCATGTCAGTACATACCCCAATGGCAGAAGTCAGATGAGATGATGAAAAGGTTAGAAGGGTCTGCCAGGTATTTGCTAAGCAGCTTCCCATACTCCTGTTCCTTTGACTCACTCAGCGCACCCACCAGCACAGGCACGATGCTAAACTCGTCTTTGTGGCTGCAACATCAATAATAATAACTTAACTTTTACATGCTAAAAACAACAACTTTGTGACTTTAGTCTCACTGGTCAACATCAATGGTGTGATTTCAACTTGTTATTTCCCATTATGGAGTCACCTAGCTCAGTTCAAGTTCTACTACATGATCCCTGTTTTTCAGAACCATGAAAATGGCTCTGTCTCCAGCCAACCTAACAGAAGGTTGTATAAATTATGCACATCCATGTGTCCCTGCACCAGTGTGATTCTGGTTTACAATAGTGCCTGGTGCATAGTATAGGACGTGAAGGAAAATAAGAGAACAGAAGTAACAGAGCTTTTGTACCTTGTATTTACTTTTGTCAGAAACAGTCAAGAAAAAGCTTCAATCTCTCAGACAGTTCCCTTTAAATGCATAGATTGATTCTCCACTTGAATGAATGTCACTCATGTGCATTACCTCTCCATGGCTTTAGCAGTGTAAGGCAAGTGCATTTCAATACTGTGCTCATCTTCATCTGTCTGCAGACTCATTCTCTCAAACAACCCAGTTTTCCAGAGGTCAGCATAAACTGAAAGAGAGAGATTTAACTTTATTTTGAGAATTTTTTCATAGTCACGACTACTGATAAAGTCAGTGAGATTAGAATTCTGACAAGTGCCTAGCTGAGGAAAATCTAAAAAATAAAAAGAAAGCCCTGACCACAGAGTCAAGGCAATGTCTGGTCGTTGGAGGATCATTAAAAGTGTATCACCTGCCAAACTGGCATAAGGTCTGTATGTTGAAGCGCTGTGCTTGCTTCATTTCACATTTTTAAGAGCAATGACTCCAAAAAAAAAAAAGTTCTTCACTTTGCTTTTGGCACAAAACATGAAATTTACACTTTAAATGTTATCCAAACTGTCATGTTACTACCTCACATCACCGCACATCCTCAAAACACCTTTTATGAGGATGTGCAAAATACCTATAAATAAATTATAGCACAAGTTAAGATGTAAGACATATTTGAAAACAGTGAATACCCTTCTGGTCGATTCTCAGGTCATAGAGGGGTGTTCTATAGATGTCTGCAGGTGACAGGGCACAGCGAGAGAGGGGCACATGGTGTGAAGGTCCCAGGATGAACACCCTACGACTGAAGGGCAACAGAACTTTATTTCATTAGCTGTTTTTGCAAAAAGCACAGCACCAACATTTCTTTACTCTGCTATCTACACTCACATCTGCTCAGTCTGTGGAAAAAGTGGAATTAAGATAAACAATCATGCAAAGCATCTTCTTAAATGAGGAAGAGAGCTAGAAAACAGGATCACTTACGTAATAGAGGGATCAACCTGCTTGTAGGCATGTGCTGCACAAGCACCACAGTAAGTATACCCTGCATGGCTACAAACAAAAACAAGCCATATTACAATTAAGAAGGCATTGAACACATTCAGAAGACATTTTCCTTCTGTTTGTTAATGTGTGCTTACGGTGCTATGATGGCTCTAGCGGGTCTGATGGTGGACTGTGCTTGAGACAGCCAGCCTTCTAGTTGTGCATTCAGCTGGGATCCTGAAAAAGTAAACAAACAAAAAAAGATATATACCTGTATATTTCACTAGAGTAGACTAACACTAGAATAAAGAGGGGTCACAAAATCAAATGATAATTGTAGAAATAGTCCAAATACACTTTGATAAGGCTACAATCATTTTAGATCCCTACCAATGTCGCACTGTAATAGCAATGCACTGGGCTGAAATCCAGCTGTGACAGCAGTTCATTATTCCTTGTCAGTTATTTTGGAACGGGAAAGAAATGGATAAGAGCCCATCTTGACAAAGCCTAACATAGTATTGTCAATCTTTTATATGCTGGGCAACTGTCATTGTAAAGCTGGAGCTCATTATACTGTGTCATAATCCAATTTTAACCTTACTAAACGTGATTAACTAAACTGGAATACAATGCCTATATTACAGTATAAACTACTAAAGTTCATGTTTACCAGTGTCAATAGTTGACAACATTAACAGCGCACAGAACTGAATGATTTGTTAGAAAAACAACCAGAATCACGGTAATCAATGTTGTTGTTTTCAGTATTTATCTGCTTTATATGTTGTCTCAAAAAGGATTGTAAATGGCAGTTTCTAATGGATAATCGGGCAGCCTTTTGGGATTTAATAAAAAAAATAAACTAGCGTACAGCTTGTGAAATGGGGGAAGGGGTGCAACATGAACCTTCAGCTTTCTGCCCTGCCCTACCCAATCCTTTGTTCTGTGACAGGGAGCATTTGTACACATAACTTAAGCGGATCAGGGGCAGACACCAACAAGAACACAATAATGCTCAATAATCAGCTTCGGGAAATCTTAAGTGTAGCTGGCTAGCTAGCACGTAGGCCAGGAAGTTCTGCAATATTAGCCAAGTTAGCGTTGGTTGAGTTGATAGTCAAAAATGCTTTGTTTTGACATTTCCACGCACTATCCAAGGAGGAGGTGCTGAACAAGTTCAAACCAATCGTACACCAAATGGGATAATACAGAGACGGCAGTCGATAACAGTTAGATAGCCGACTTAAAAAAAAAACAAAAAACGGATGGACTAACGTTACAGCCCTGACACTGGCTATTCATTTCTGCGGTGGCAAGCCACCAGGAGCCCAGTTACAAAGACAGTAAGTTACGCATAATGAGAAGCCTCAAAAACTAATAGAACACAAAGCATAAAACAAACAAATAAGACTGCCAGCTAGCACAAGGTGTGCTAACGCGGATGGTGCTTCATTGACAGTTACCCGAAGCAGAGTACCAGCTCCCGGCGTGACTTGCTTCTCTGCACACCACTCGGTTCGACATCTTGGTTCCCAAGCCGCCTATCTTGGTTTGCTTCACTCCTGTCAGGCGAAAAATTAAAAACAAAACTCCAAAATCCTGGGTTAACTACCCGAGAGAAGAAACCAACGCCTGCTAGCTGACTTGCCTGAAAAGACAAAGGGCAGTTCGACTGGAGAATCAGCAGCTAGCTGGCTAACAAGCTCAGTGTACCGTCAGATGGCCCTTGTGTTGTTACCGGTTAATAAGTTAGCTAGGGTCCGTTTGGCATAAAGTCTGTTAATATCAGCATGCAATGCGGAAAGACACAAATTACAGAATGTTTGTAATGTGCCGATATGAAACACTCAGAACAGTAATAATAAAAGCAGCGATGTCACAGTTGGGATCTGAGGATTACAGACTTGTCTGTCAAGCCAGGCAAGGGGCGGGTCTGAAAAAAATGTTATCGAAGAGACGTCAGAGCTGTCCGATTGGCTGTTTGATTGCTCATCTTTACATGATTGGTTAAAAAATCCAGGAGGCGTAGCTATTACTAAGATGTTGTTTGATTGTGAAATTGTGCTGTCCGTCAGGTGAGCGGGTACAGCGTGGCAAAAAAGCAGGGACGTCAATAGGGCATCCACCAAAATGTACCTATTCCTCTTCTTAGGATTGAAAGGAGTACTTTTGCTACCAGTGACTGTAGAAAACAGTCATTTCTACAGTCATTGTTTGCTACCATGAGAGATTTTTGACTGTTTAAAAACTAATTGCTTTTCTCATGGATTTAGATTCAATTCAATTCAACTATTTATACAGTGCCAAATCACAGCAACAGCCGCCTCAAGGCACTTTATATTGTAAGGTAGACTCTGCAATAATACATACAGAGAAAAACCCAATAATCATATGACCCCCTATGAGCAAGCACTTTTATGAGGATGGAAGGAAAAGCTCAATTTTAACAGAAAGAAACCTACAGCAGAACCAGGCTCAGGGAGGGCCAGCCATCTGGGTTGGAGTGAGAGTTGGGGTGAGAGAAGGAAGACAAGACAAAAGACACGCTGTGGAAGACAGCTAGAGATTAATAACAAGTATGATTCAATGCAATGAGGTCTATTAACACATAGTGAGTGAGAAAGGTAACTGAAGAAGAAATACTAAATGCATCATGGGAATCACCCACCAGCCTACACCCATTGCAGCATAACTAAGGGAGGATTCAGGGTCACCTGATTGAGCCCTAACTATATGCTTTAGAGAAAAAAGGAAAGTTTTAAGCCCAATCTTAAAAGTAGAGATAGTGTCTGTCTCCCGAATCCAAACTGGAAGCTGGTTCCATAGAAGAGGGGCCTGAAAACTGAAGGCTCTCTCTCCCTTTCTACTTTTAAATACTGTAAGAAAACTGGATGACAAAATACAAAACTTGTGTTCTCTATTTTCAAAAAGACCTGTCTAAACCAGAGATGTCAAACTCATATTACATCGTGGGCCTACAGTCCACTTTAGTCTGTACCCGAGAAACTGCCTTTTTTGTTAATGGAAAGATGTTTTAACTACATATTTAATCCCTGAGCTATCTTAATATAGGAAGAAGTAAAATTTCAACAGTATGTCTCAGTTTTTCTCCATGATAAAGAAATGCTGCCATAGTGAATAAAAAAAATATGGTCAGTGCAGCACTTTGGGCTTTTTACTGTGGACCCACAGTAAAAACACAAACAAAAAAACAAAAAAACTCTGTAGTACATTGTGGGAAAAGCATTATCTTCTGTAACTTAATTGTTAATCTGTTACTCAGGTCCTGTGTGTAGAATGAGCGGCCATGAGGAAGGTCTTTGTCTATTGAAAAAGCTGTAAAACTGATAAAAAATACAGCTAAAAGTCCTATGCCCTCTTTCATATTTTAGCAGGAGATCAATATGACAGAGCAAACAGACAATAAGATAAAATTGTCAACAATTGTTTACTTTTGTTACTCCTGCCCCAGACACATCTGTCCAGTAAGTGGGCTGAACATTCTCACAACAAAGGTGTGAAACCCTGTTAAACTTGAGTTCAGTCAGCTTATTGGCTTATTGGTCAGACACATCTGCTTTATTGGCCAGATGTGCTTGGGGCGGACTGAACATTCTAATGTGCTTCGTAGTGGCGCATTTTTGTTTGCTTAGATTTTCTCTATGTGAAAAGAGCTTATTTATCAGCTTATTTAGGTAAGAAAACACCCTTTAAAAGGAGAGGAGACAAATGACACTTAATCTCGTCCTTCCAAAACCAAAGCCAGTTTCCAAAATCCACCTTGCAGATGTTTCCAAGGATATCTGGCCCTCCTATGCTGTAACAAGTACAGGACAGTATTTGGAAAAGTGCTTCAAGAAATTGTCAACTTTCCTGCTTTAAGACCTGAGGTTATTCCTTCTAAATGTTTTTAATTCTGTTTACCATAATTATGCTCTTCAGATTTATTTTCTGTTTAGCATTTGGGTTTTGGATAACAATGAACACAAATGTTTGTCAAAATAGATGTTTCACTGTAGGTGGTGACATAACTTTTCTGCAAACATTTAGATTTGTGGTTGAGTCTTGTTAAAGTGAGACTGCGTTCTCAAACAAAAATCAGCATCACAAATCAGTATGAGCACATTATTACACTAATACGAATGTCTAGTGACAGTTATTTATCTTCACATACTTTTAGCTGATCTTCAGAGTTGTCTCACTGATCTTCAGTGGTTAGTCTCGTGCCACTCATGTAAAACGTACTTATCAAATAAAGCTGTAGTCATGTTGTTATACCTGAATTCAGTTTTCATTCAACCATATGGGTGCAGCACACAACACAGGTATAGTGATAAGAAATGGGTGGAATTAAAAAAGACTGAATGGCTAACCCTTCCTCTGTTAAAAATGTAATCTTGAATCAAATGTCATGCTTTGTTTTTTGTTGGTTTGTTTGTTTTAAAGAGAACCAGTATGTGCACATTATTAAGGTTTTAGAAAAAAAGATTTTCAGTTTGTGTCCCGGAAATATGCAGACATCGCATACTTTTAGTCTGGAATTCAACCGGAAGTTACTTCTTGTTCTATATTTCAATTCAATTCAATTCAATCTTTATTGGCAGACTACATGTCCATAAAAACAAGACAAGAAACACACACACACAACACAAGGTATACCATTAAATATATATATGTATATAAATAAGTATATAAAGCATTTGTAAAAATATAAAACCATAATATACATAAAACACAATTACTTAAAATAAATCAATAAATACACAAACACTTTAACCAGTGCTTTCTGAGACTGGATGAGTAACGGGAACCACTCACTGTCGGATCTGTAAGTGCTAAAATTATACTGTTACTCGAACCATCCAGTCGTTCTCTAAAACTGAACATTAACTTTCTTAAAAGTGCTTTAAAAGTCCAGACACCCACAGCTACAAACATCTGACTGGCACTACCACTTCTAGGTATCCTGCAAAGGATTCTCATCGCATCATTATATGCAACATGCAGCTTCTGCATGCTACATTGTTTGTAGGATGACCACAAGGGGGCAGTATATAGCGGTGTGCAATACGCTTTAAACAAAGCCACTTTAACTGGAAGTGAACAAAAGCTGAATTTGCGTGCAATAGTATTTGCCTGCACATAGAGCTTACATCGTTGTCTGTATATGTCATCATCATCATTCATTTGCTCAGTAATAAAGTGACCGAGGTATTTCACCTTTTTATGAACTTCAAGAGTTTTTTGTGCCAGTTTAAACAAAGGGAAATTTAGCTGTTTATCCTGCTTGGTTCTACATATCAAAACAGCACTTTTAGCAGCATTGTACTCAATGTCATATTGCACACCATATTCAGTACAGACATTAAGAAGATCCTGTAACCCAGCACTGCTTGGACTAAAAACAACCAGGTCATCTGCATACATAAGATGATTTATCAGTGCTTCACCTAATATACACCCAGTGTTACAGGCTCTCAGCTGTATGGACAAATCATCGACATATAAATTAAATAAAATTGGAGACAAAATCCCACCCTGTCTGACACCATTGCTGACACCAAAGGGGGCAGAAATACTGCTTCCCCATTTAACCTGCATGTTCTGATATATAATTTTTCTTTAATAAAAAGGAAATTACGTAAGTTTTTTTTAAAATTGTCTTTGCTTCTTTTGCGTTACTTATACTATATAAGGGATAAAACAAAATATGTTTTTGTTTTTACCTTTAAATAGTGTATTTTCTGTTTACCTAGTAAAATGTCCATTAATGACTGTAACGGTACATTCACGAGGACGAGCTCTGCGGGCGCCTTCTAGCGCTGTTGCGTCGAACGGAGAGGGGCGGAGTCTGTCTGGGTCGCTCGGTAAACCGGAAGCTTGTGTTGGAAATGTTTGTGTTGTCACGAAGCGCCCGAATTTTTATTCTATGAAGTTAAAGCGTCGTGTTTTGTCCCAAAGAAAGAGGACTGCATCACCTTTAAATGCGATTTAAAGCCTAAACGTTTTCGTTTATGACTAGCTTAGCTTGTTATGACTGAGAACAGGGGGAAGTAGCGCGAGAGTAATGTCGACCAAAACAAACGCAAGTAAGCCCAAAGACAGCGCTGAAGTTATAAAAAACATCCACAAGCAGGCGTTTGAGTATATATCCAAGGCACTGAAGATCGACGAGGACGACACAGGTTTGTTTATTGTGTTATTCATTTTTATTGAGTTATTAAATGCTGTTGTACGTGTGCAAGAGAGTAATAAACACCTCATCCTTTCTGTCATAACAGGTGAGAAGAAGGAGGCTGTGCAGTGGTACAAGAAAGGGATTTCTGAGCTTGAAAGGGGTATTGCAATAGAGCTCACTGGGCAAGGTATTACAAATACATTCAGGTATGCTGTGAGCTGTCAATCAGCTGTAACTTCATACTCAGTGTATTTTTAAGCAGGAGAGCAGTATGACCGAGCAAAGAGACTCCAGGATAAAATGGTCACCAACCTCACCATGGCAAAAGACAGGCTTACCCTTTTAGGTGAGTTGGCCTTGATTATTTTTATCAAAGTAATGTATGCTGAGAAGGCATGCAGGAGATCATCAAATGTCTTCCTTCACAGAGACGACACTAGCCTCTAAAAGGAGAAATGACCCCCAAGGGACATCACGTCATGCTCTTCCACAGCCAAAGTCAGTTCCTAAAAGTCAACCCGCAGGTGTTTCCACCACCATCAGACCCTCCACTCCTGTAAGACCTTCATTAAGACTAACTGATGCAAAGGTTTGTGGGTTTTTTTGGTTATTTAATAGTGCAGGCACATGCCATTTGAAGCTACCTTTCTAATGTGTAATGCTTTCTGGGACAATCTTATTCCTGCTAAGACAACCGCTCGGGTGGGAAAAACTCAGAATGGAAGACCGGCAGCTGTGAAACAACCCC